CCCAGCAACCTTGGATGCTTCCTTGGGAGAGGAGAAAGGCTCAAAGGGAGCCTCTGCACAGCTGTGTAGTGTGCATCTGGTTCTCTGCTGATCAGTGGAGGAATGCAGCCAGCCCACTATATCCCAGGAGCCCTAGGGGCCATCCATGTGCGCTCCAACCACTGCCCATCATCCTCCAGTCAGAGGCTATTTACATGCCCCATGTTCCTGGAACAATCTAAGCTTGTGGAGACAATAGAGCTCGTGCGCGCGCGCGCGCGCGCGCGCACACACACACACACACACACACACACACACACACACACACACACACAGAGCGGATCAAAATGCTGTAGGTAGGGGATACAGAGCCTGGCAAGCAACGCTGTAGCAATGTGAGCCCGGTAACCACTGTGTTATGCTCTGTGTGTGTTGCAACCCTGCCATAGGCAACAATGTAGGGAGGACAGGTACTGAGTACCCTCTCAAGAGACCTTCCATGTCTAGTCTCCTGCCATCCTGGCAAGATAAGGGTGGCCACCCTCTTGTCAGTAGGTGAACCCCCACAGGTTCATTCTGTCATAAAAGTCCTGCCCTTGCCCTTAGGTTCCATTCACCTGTTGTCCTGATAAGGCAGGCTGAGGAGGGAGCACAAATGACAAGTAGGTAGTCTTAGTCCTTCTGTGTCAACGAGATGCAGGCAGAGGCCTTTGAGTTCTGGTTCTGCTTATTCTTCTGACTGTGTGACTCTGGTGAGTCACCCAGCTGCTCTAAGCCCCTAGATCCTGGCTGACATATTCTAATAACAATAACCAACCACAATAATCTTAGTTTCTACCGCCTCCTGTTCTTAGTCTATGTTGTCCATTCACTTAACAATTTGTTTGAAACAGGGTCCCTTCCAGCCAAATTTTGCTTCAAACTCAATGTGTAGCTGAGGCTGGCTTTGAACTCCTGGTCCTCCTGCCTCCATTCATTTCCCAAGTGCTGGGATTACAGGCCTGTGCCAACACAACAAGTTTGAACAGTTATTTGTTCAGAAGCCAATACACTCCAGTGGCTGTGGCAATTTTAGCCTACATCACCTGTGGCTGGCTGTCCTTTTGGATGAGGAGGTGGGGGACACTCTGATCTCCCCACTTGATCCCCAGATGAGGCCTAGCCTTTGGGGAAACACAGTTGCAGAGCACTGGGCTTTGAGGTGCGCAGGGACAGCGCCACCTAATGGCTTTATGTTTCCATTGCTGCGACTTACATTTGCTTGGGCCTTCTGCCTTCCTGGGCTCTCAAGACTGCAACTCTGCTTCCCCCTAGGGGCTCACAAGCATGATTGTAGGGTACTGATGCATGTGCAACTTCAAGTACAGGAGAGTTCAGACAGGCAGCATGAAGGTTCTCTCTAAAATTACTCCCCATAAGAAACATCTAATCCTTCTCCTAAAGTGGCTAGAATAAGCCAAGGCACAATTCCACATTTGTTTACTCTAGGAACCAATGAGTTTATCAGGCATTCTTATAGAGCATAGGTGAGGGATTCTTTACAACAGCGTGGGTAGTCCTGCAAAGATGGCACCTGGAAAGCCTTCACTCAGCAGGGATAATGAGTCACCCATAGCTGCATGAATGGAGCTCCAGTCCCCAGCCTAGATACCCTAGCCACTTCCAGAGGCCATTTGCAATTAAAGCAGAGTCGTGTACAGCAGGTGATAGGCAGTGGCTGGGTACTCAGGTGAAATTTCTCCAATTCCCTCCGCCCTTCCATTAGAGGACATAAGGAGTCAACAAGCCCAGCTGGGGTGATTGTTTTGCAAGGAGGCACAGCACAACTTCTCTAGACCATGGTTGATTGGCTGGGAGGACAGTCACTCACAAGGTACTCTTCTTTTTTCTTAAGAGGCAGGGCCTCTATAATACCCAGGCTGGTCCTAAACTCTTGGGCTTCAGCACTCCTCCTGCCTCGGGCTCACAAGTAGCTGGAGCTGCAGGCATGGGCCACGTGGGACAATTTGTTATTTTCATTTATGAGAATGTGCCTGCTAATCTGTATGTGCACCACGTATGTGCAGGTAGGTGTTTGCAGAGACCAGAAGGATCCCCTGAAACTGTAGTTACAGAGAGCTATGAGCCATTATGTGGGTACAGAGAACTGAATTTGATTCCTCTGCAAGAACAGCCAGTGCTCCTAAACACTAAAAACATTTGTATATTATACATATGCAATAAAGGGCTTAAAAAGGATATCTATAATTCTCCAAATTCAGTAATATAAAAAGGTCCTATTTAAATATTTATTATTATTATTAGTGTATATGTGTGCATGGTATATATGTGTGAACATTTGTGCCACGGAACAAATATAGAGGTCAGAGGACAACTTGGCTCTCTCCTTCTGTTATGTGGATTCCAGTGACTGAACTTAGGTCATTAATCTTGAGAGTAAGCAAGTGCCCTTAACTACAGAGCATTCTTGCCAACCCAGGTACAGGCTTTTGCAAAGGTGTGCAAATGTTCAGAGCTTTGCAATAATAAAATAAAGTTGTTGTTGAATACAGCAGCACACCTTTAATCTCAGGTGCACCTCTGTAAAAGTGAGGCTAGCCTGGTCTACACAGTGAGTTCCACACCATCCAGAACTTACATAATGAGACTGTCTCAAAAAAAAAAAAAAAAAAAAAAAAAAAAAAGAAAGAAAGAAAAGAAAAGAAAAAAACAAAGAAAGTCCATTGATTGGTAAATGTATAAATTAACTATGGTAATTTGATAACAATGGAATGCAACTTAGCCACAGAAATTAATGACTTTCAAAATAATGTTATATGAAAGTAGCCAGATCCCAAAGAGAGTGCATGTCTAGTCTTGTAAAAACTTTAGAAAAGACAAACTGATACACAAAGAGCAGATAAAGCTGCCTAAACGGGAGCAGCAGTGCTGAGGAGGGCTAGCCTGAAGGGATTAGGAGGAAGTTCTTTAGAGCAATGGTTGTGCTTACTATCTTAAATTGCACTGATGCTTTTCGTGTATGCCGCTTTAAACACTGGAGTCCGGTCTCAGCTACTTTCCTCGTTGCTATGACAACATACCTGGCAGAAGCAATTTAAGAAAGGGTTTATTTTGGCCCAAAGAAGGAAAGGCAAAAGGGGTGACAGGGATACAGGACAATACTACATAGGTGTTTTGTTTTGAATACAATCCTCCTGCCTCAGCCTCCTGAGTGCTGGATTACAATCGTACATCCTCCACACCTAACAAATTTGTATTTTCTTGTGTATACTTCAAAAGGAAGTTTCCAGAACAGTTTTTCTGGAATTTTCACATGAAGTCAGTGACCTGGACTGGAGAAGTTTAGGGTAGGAGTGGAGTATGCAAGACAGGAGGATCCTGCTCAGGGAGGGTCTGAGAGGTGCTGGGAGAGCCTGGCAGCCAGCAGCTGCTTTAATACATTAAGTACGTACCACAGCCATTCGTCCCAGGTTTGAAACCTAACTGTTAGCATTCACAAATGCATTCTCCTTGTAACAAAAATCTTCAAAACTTCTGGGCAGTGGAGGTTCACACCTTTAATCTCAGCACTCAGGAGGCAAAGGCAGGTGAGTCTCTGAGTTCAAGGATAACCTGGTCTACAGAGTGAGTTCCAGGATGGCCAGGGCTACACAGTGAGATCATGTCTCAAAAACGAACAAAACGGAACAAAATTCTTCAAAACTGAAGCCCATGTGAGTAGGTTAGGGACTAGTCTTGGGAGACAAGGTGGCAAGATGATGCCCTCGACATTGGGTCACAGAAAGGTGCCACAGCAGGGAGTCCTCTGAGACTGGCTGGCAAAGTTCTCTCTGTATGCATTTTCTTGAGATGGATGAGACAGGTTTGGAGGTCAGAGAGCACATGGGAACTCAGGCCCGGGTGGGCAGAAAGAGGGAATGACGAAAGACTCCCCAGGCTCTGGGCTGTGGAGTAGCAGGCTTTTAGAAGCAGGCTACCGAGTAATCCCAAGTCGCCTCTGAGTGTCCCAGCCAGGTACCTGTGCCACAGGTCTCTGCCCTCTCCTCTGGGCTTAGAGAAATTCTGAGAGCAACCAGAACTAGAAGGCTCACAGTCAGCCCTGTGTCTGGATCAAAAGATATAGAGCCTCCAGACCCAGCATTCCATAAACGGTGTGGTGGTGGCGGGGTGGCGGTTTGACGTTTAATGTCATCCTTGGCTACACAGTGAGTTTGAGGCCAGCCTGGACTGCATGACACTCTATCTCAACATCCAAAGGGGGATGGGCAGAAGCCTCCATAGTGAGTATGGGAGCAGCAGTGCACACTGAGGAGTCTATAGACAGACCCAATTCAAGCAGAGGTGCTACATAAGTGGTCCTGTGCCTTGGGCCTCAGCAAGTTACTTAACCACTCTGCCTGTTTCCCTATCAACAAAACCGAGATAACAGGAAGGACTACAAACAGCTGTGAGCATTAGAGGTGTTACCGTTTATGCTAGGTGTTTAGGCCTGGCCTCAAGTGGCCTCTGTGATGTGTTTGTTCTTATGGCACTTTTAAAAGTCCCACCTCTGCCCTTCCCCATACCATTGAGATTCTTGTTTTATTCCTAATGACCTGTGTACTAGGAACCTCACAGAAAACCTAGAACCCGGGTGGGCGGTTGGGGAGGTAATACACGCCTGGGTTGACTCTTCCTGCAAGGCCTGCTGTTTCCAGCAGGGGGCGATTGGCACCAAGCTTTGTGAATATACAATGTGCAGATTCCTAACCAGGTTTTTCTATAACTGGAGTAGACTTGTGGGCCCCGCTCTCCTTCCTTACCCCTGGGTTCAGACACTTCTCCATATGACCATTTTTCCACCTTTCTATCTTACCATTCAGCCTCAGTTTCTCCCAGTGTGTGAAATACTAGTGCTGGCCATGCTGCCTCTGTGGCCTCAGTGGCCCAAACTATATCCATCATCACTCTAGGGCAGCTCTCCTTCAACCCCTGCACCAACAAGAGACTTTCAAATAACACAAATGAAAGATGACCCCCCCCCAAAAAAAATCACATCTTTATTGTTTGATTAATGAATTGACTGGGAAGGATGAGTGGATGGGGGAGGGGATAGTGCTGGTGGCTAGTTTGAGTAGCCAGAACCTCTTGTTAATTGTGTATAAAACATGTATGTTATAAAAACCACGTAGAAAATGGGTGGGCAATGCAGGAGCCTTCCTGAGGGCTCAAGGCACCTGGAAATTGGAGACATGGCCCAAGCACACATCTGGAGCAGTGTTACCAGGGCTGAACCCAGCACTTCCTGCCCCATGGAACAAACACATTCTCTTCTCTCCTCAAAATTCACTGCAAACTGCTCTTGAAGGGGCATGATGACCACTGGCCAAGGCACTTCGAGAAGTAAACTGAGCCCATACTAAGCCCTGAGCTTCCTTCTCTGGGGCCCAGAACCACAGCTGGGCCATCCCTGTTCCCTGGGATTTCCCAGGGCTCAACCTTCCCCTGGGAGGAGCGGCCACTGGACACTGTACACAGGCACATACACCCTGGGCTTTGGTCAGTGCCACGAGCGGGCAGAGGAGCTGGAGCTGGTCCTGTCTGGCTTGTGTAGACCGGGAGGTGCTGTGCGGCAGAGTCCTGCTGAGGCTGCTGTGCCAGACCAGGTCCTAATTGGGATAACACAGACAGCACCCAGTGCTCGCTGTGTCCTCGCTGGACTTGGCACCAGGTCCCAGCAATCCATCCGTGACAGAGTGCTCCAAGATAATGTCTTCCACTCGGGTGATGTACAGTAGTGTCAGCAACACACCAAAGAACTGAGGACAGAGAGGGCAGTTGAAAGCCTGCTGACACATGGCCATCCCTTCCTGACAGCTCCCTCATGACACTGGGTGGCTGGGGAAATTGAGACACGCCAGCATCCACTGCCCAGGCAGCCTAAGGCTGGACTCTTCTATCCCTCCAGGAACAGAGACTTCCCGTGCCTAACTAGCAAAGACCCCTTTTCTGGGTCTTATGCCTCCACCCCAGCTCTCCCCAGGGGACCTTGGGGATGTCTCCTTCTGAAGCCTCAGTTTCCACCTCTGTGTAAGTTGGCATGGTAAAAAAATGCAATCTCACCAATGGACTGAAGTCAGAGCCAGTGCAGAGTGAGCAACCGAGGCTACTCTATTTGCCTCTCCTTCCAGGATCCAGCCCTTTCAGGGGCCCTAAACCTCTGCCTTCATCACCCACCCAACCTAGCTTCATCTGTACCCACAGACTACCCACCTGAGGAAGCAGGATGCCCAGTAAGAGACCTGCCATAATAGTGTAGTTGTCCATGAACCATATCAACACGGCGTTGGTGCAGCCCCGCACATGAATGACATTCCGTGCACTCAGGCGCTGTGCAGGAGGAGGGTGTCAGCTTGAGAAGGTGGCCCTGGGCTTTCTAATACTGCTCCTGGGACAGCACTGTGGGACACTATGATAGCACTTTGCTGACCAGAACTGCTAGGGACTGGGGGATGGCAAAGAGTGCCCACATGCCTCTCAGATGCCACCCAGCACTACACACTATTACTAGAGCCAAAACCAACTCCAGGTATATGTGGAAAAACAAAGAAACAAATGAACAAACCTCATAACTACAAGGTTTTAATGTACACACGTAGCTTCTAGAATTACTATGTTAGATTTTTCCACAAGTGAAACATCCCTCACCATGAAACGTTGCTTCATGCCCAAAATTATTAAAAACAACATCATTTGGGGGGTGTGGCTGCTGGCAGGCTACTCATGTTCCAGTGGATGGCCCCAGCTCTCACGTATATGGGCAGAACTTATTCGACCCAGTGGGTTATTAAAAAAAAAAAAAAAAAAAAAAAGCCTGACTGGGCATGGTGGTACATGCTACATGCCTTTAGTCCTAGTACTCATTCAGAAGGCAGAAGCAGGAGAATCACCTTGAGTTTAAGACCAAATATATATATGAAGTTCCACATCAGCTGGGGCTACTTAGAGAGACCCACCACCTCAGCATGACCCCAGCTCCCTGAGGAGCTGTCCAGAAAGCTGATGCAGGGGGACACCCAGGAAGGATTTGTTCTTCTCCTGGGTCAGGTAGGCAGCACAAGTGTCACCTGACAACAGACTGCAGGGCTGGACAGGCAGCACGTGAAGGGCCCTGGGAGGGAGTGACGCCTCACACAGATAACCCTGCCTGTAGTATGCACTCAGCAAACCTAGTCAGGTGGCCTCCCCTGACTCCCTGGGCCCTTCTGTGACTGAAAGCTAAGAAGAGTTGGGAAACCTGAGCAGCCAGCAGCCCTCCAAGAGAAACCCTCCACCGGCTGGGGAGTGGGACAAGAGGAACACCGTATCCGGGGACAAGAAGTTTCCAAGCCATTACCTCCTTGTCGATCGTTTTGTAGCCGCACATGGTGTTGACGACATCTGTCTGAAATGGAAACATATCACAAGCCATGACTCTACAGGCTGCCATGTGAAGGACACACCTTTTACAGATGGGGAGCCGAGGGGCGGGTGTACAGTCTGGTTTGGCTGGAGCTGAGATTTCCTGCTTCCAGCAGCAGGGTCCAGCCCGATTCTTAGCTACCTCCTCCAAGAAATGTCCAGTGGGGAAACAAGGGCAGGCCCCACCGGGGTTCTTGTGGGAGATCATCCCTCCACCAATAGCAATCTAAGTTCTTATCTGGGAGCACCACCTAGGCACACCCCGCTGTCCATCTGTACTTCTCAGTCTTGAGCCAAGCTGTTCCCACTTTACTGGCTCTCAGAAAGGAACTGCTCAAACAACAACAGGCCCTCTGCAGCTGTGGTTTACCAGAGGGCAAGGCTGGGCCACTGGCCACCCTTCCCTGCCCTTTCAACTCGGGCTTCACCACCAGGGAGCCACAGAGGTCCCTCTGAAAACAGAGCCACTCTCCAGGGCTCCTTGTTGACTGATTACACATGGGAACCCTATGGCTGGACTCTCACTCCCATCAAATTCTTTCCCAAGTGACACTTCCCATCATTGCCTTGCCCTGTTTGGTTACATCTCCAGCCATAAGGAGAGAGGCAGAGTCCTAGGTCCAACCTGGATCCAGCTTGGGTCCGTGAGGCTTCTGCCAGGCCAGAGAGCCACTGACACCAGTGACAAGGGGGACCAGCATCAGAGTAGCCAACATGGCCTGTGGCATCAGCATAAGAGGATGAGGAGGAGGCAGCACTTGGTAGATACGGGGTGTGGTTCCCCCAGCCAATTCTGGAAAGTCAGGGAATGTGACCTGTGAACCTGCCCCATGTGCTATGTGTTACATATGAGATACCATGAGTTAGATGCTGGGTGACACTGCTTACATCCCCAGTTCCAGATGTCATCAGGTCATTCTAAGTGACAGGGCTTGGCGTGTGCATAAAATAACCTTTCTCATGCCCTCAGACGCACAGTGCTCAGCGGTCACATGGCCCTGACTCCCATGGCAAGGGTCAGCCATTCACTCATTGAACAAACGTTAATTGGCATTTGTTGTGTACCAGTTGACAAAATGAAGCCCCCACCTCAGCACTGATAGCCTAGTGATAAAGAGATGGACACAACTAGGAAATGATGTAGCTAAGAGACGGAGGTGGGAAGAGAGACCTCACTGGGCAGCCAGAGGCGAAACTGCATGATGTCTAGTGGACACGGTAGTGTGAGGGCCTGGCTCCCTTGCTCCAGCAGCATGGGTCAGCTTGGAAGGATCGATCGTATGTATAGATATAGCCGAGACTCTCACCCAACCAGAGCCAAATCTCCAGCACTGCTGACAGCACAGTAGCCTGCCCCTCCTCCCCTCCCCGCCAGTGGAGGATCTGTCAGAACCTCTTACTACACCTCCTATTTGCTACCGGAACCTCAGGGCTGACTTCTGTCACTCGTGAGGACATCAGTCCCAGCCTGTGGTCTTCAGGGTACCTCCTTAGACCTCCCCTGCTCCCTGCTGATCTCAGTCTGCTCTGGCCTCACGGGCCACTTCCCACCCTAGGACCTCTGTCTGCACTTGACACTCTCTCAGCCAGGAAAGCCCCTCTTCCAAACCCTTGGTTAACTTACTCCTTCAGGGTTTTCCTCATAGTCCACCTTCGCTGTATCTAAAGCTGTGACCTCCCTGGCTGTTTCTTAGTGTCCCCTTCTAACATCTGACACTTATTTTGTCAGTTTTCCTCACTGTGTCATTCCCATTTGGGCAGAGGCTTCTACGTGTGCCCGCAGTTCCTCCAGAGCCTAGCAACATGCCTGGCACACAGTATACCTTCAATCAAGGATTGTTGAATGAATAAACAAATGAAGGAAGACACATTGGGCTTCCACAATTCATCTTGGACACCCAGGGTGCACCCATGGGTGGTGAAGTTCAGGGTTACCGTTTGCAGTTCTCTGCAAACCCTGGGACCCTTCCACAGCACTCACCTGACTCCCCTAAAACAGCAGCTGGGGTTTCCAAAGTTCCTTAGCCCTGCCTTTCACAGGGCAAGTTTATTTGGCACAGTTACAGACTTTGGATGCAGCCCCGCCCACAGCACTCCATTTCCATGGTTACAGGCTGGCCTGGTAGGCACAGCTGTTGAAACCATCAACAGGAGACTTTGCAGGGGGGGGGGGGCGGTAATTGTCAGGCTGGCTTTTTTTTTTTCCCCTCTGCTCCAGTCCAGAATCTGGTGACATACTTGTCACACATCAGCACTGATGGAGCATCCCAGATGACTGGGGAACTGACAGCTGAGAGGCTCCTGCTGGGGAAAAGTGGAGGCTGGCATTTACATCACCACATCCTTTCTGGCCTCAGTTCTGATGCTGGTACTTACCACGTCTGCACTGTACTCTGCCTACAGCCAACGGGGTGGAGCAGGCTGCCCCTGCGGAGTGCCTGGCCCTCTGTTAGCCTGACACAGGTGCATTCCATCCGAGCCCTGACAGCCTTGGGCAAGTCTTGTAAAGTGGGTAAAGCTGCTATAAGACCGAGTGAATACAAAGGCCTGGGCCAGGCCATGCACATGCTCACTAACACCCAGGAAGCTGCTCTCCCTGCTCCCCTTTGCCAGAACCCCTGGGCTAAGGAAAGCAGGAGTGCTGGCCGCCACTCCCACCGCCTGCAGAATGAGAGCAGTGTGAGCAGGCGTGTGAGCAGGCGGGTGATCCCACGCCCAGCACCATGCGGTTACCGTGTTCTTGATGCAGCAGGTGTAGGGCACGCCACAGGCCAGGGGTCCGGGGGCGTGGCAGTCGTGGTACTGATTTTTGCTCCAGTCTCTGTAGTCTTCCCCACCACAGCACTTGAACTGAGGAGGACAGCACAAAGATCTGCAGTCATTACCAAGGCCGGGGTCAGATGGCAGAAAGCACTTCTGAGAGAGGACGATGATGAGGTGTGAGGGGTGGGGGGTGGGGTGGGAGTGCCAGGGCCTCATGAAGCCATACTGTGTTAGGACAGAGCTGTCAAGAGTGGCATGGCCATCCAAAAAGGGATGAGCTCTCCACCCTGGAGAGGCATGCAAGGGAAGGCTGACTAGACACTGGAAAGGGAGTCTGTCCCTGCAACTAGTCTCCATCCCTCTGCCATCCTTAAGCCCCTGAGGTAGAGGATGGCTGGAGAAGACAGTCTCAGAGGCCAGGTCCTGTGGAAGCCCTGCTCCATCCTGACCTTGGAAACCTAAATAAACTATCACAGGCTCTCCCTCAGCCTTCCCCATCCCACCTCTCCTTTCTGTACCAGGACCAGCTTGGTGGAATGGGGAGGGCAGGGGGAGGGCACAGCAGAGGACAGTTGTGCAGTGGGACTAGCTGAATGGCTTCCTCCTGGGCTCGGCAGACAAAGTAAAATCACTCAGGAGACAGCCGTACTGGCTAAATGATGACAGCCACAGCCAAGCACGCAGGCATGCCTGGAATCCCAGCAGGAGGAATGGTACAAGTTTGAAGCCAACCTGGACTATGTGAGTTCTAGGCTACAGTATAATATAAGACTCTCTCAAAAACCAAGAACTAACAAACTACACTGAAACCACCTGGGGGGAGGGGTAACCAGGAAGGGGTGCTGTACACCTAGGCTCAGGAAAGTAGGGGGAGGGGTGGCTTTGTGTTGGGAGGACAGGAAAGGCTGCTCGAAGGAGAGGACATGTCATCTGAAACATGAACAAGGAAAAGGCAGTCAACATGTATGTGCAATGGCCCTGAGCAGAAGCAAGGCTGTGAGCAGGGGAATGACGTTCAGGGGACAGAAGCCAAATGTGGAAAGACCCATTAGCTGAGCAAACAGGAGTCTGGGGCTGTGCTCCTGGAGTAGGAGGCTGAAGGACACAGTGGTAAGAGCACAGGTAGACACCATCAGGCACCCTTGTCAAGTCTCCACAGCGCCCTGTCGGCCACCGGGCCTTCCTTGGGACACATGGCTGCTTATATGCAGTGTTGTCCAAGGGGCATTGTTCTGCTGCTGAACAGACACACATTCAAATCCTCACATCACCCCTCCAGGTGTGTGACCATGGGCAAGGGGATCAGCCTCTCTGGGCCTCGGATGCCTGTCTGCTAAAAAGAGCAGTGCCAGCTCTGTGTGGTGAGCTGGACTGTAAGAGAGGCTCTGCATGAAGCATTCTGCACATGGCCCAGTGAGCATTAGTCACCTCCCACCCCCACCCAAGGAGAAATTAAATCTCTGAGCCAGCTAAGGGCTCGTTCCAACAAAAGCATCTACCAGGAGAATGACTCGGCTCTCCCAGCCTGGGCTGGCAGGCACTGATGGCAGGAAACAATCTCCCAGGAGCTGCACCTGTTTCTCCTACAGAGACGCACAGAACCAAAGGCCCCGGGTGTGGTGAGGTTGGCCTCCACTGAAGGTTCACACAGGGGACCAGCAACACCCAACCGCCCAGTTCAGGGGAGCCTGTGGTCCTCCAGCATCACTATCCCCATCCAGTGAATGAGGGTGACCCCACTGCACTGGCTCTGCTCTAAGCATGTCAGAAGAAACTGAAGGCGTGCCGGCCTCAGTGAGGGGAGAGAACAGAACTGACCCCATGGCACACAAGAAACCCAGGCCTCAGGCCAAAGAGGGAGGCAGGCAAGACCCAGGAAAGGGTGGCCCTGTTTCAGCTGTGACTATTGTACCCACATGCTGGGCTGGGCCTCTGGAAGAGGGACAGAGTCCCAAGAGGATACACAGTCATCATCACATTCGAAGATGCAGAAGAGTAATGTGCGGGGTCTTGTCCTGTGTCCAACCTGGAAGCTGGGATTAGAAGAGTTTTCTCCCCGCCTCCAGAAGGCTGGACGGGGGGAAGGTCAGCCAATCATGAGAGGAGATCCCTGTCACCCAGGGGTGGGTCCTGGGGCCCTGCAAAGTGGCCAGAGTGATATCTGGCCTTGTGAGTTGTTTCCCACTCTGAAGGGTCATCCAGAGCCCAGCCACTTGCAGTGGGAATGAACAGGTCATGGCCTTCACCCCACTCTGTGGAACAGAGGCTTGGATCTGGGGCAAAGGCCTCCTCTGACCCCATGCTTCCCGTGTCACCTTCTTCTGGACAAAGTCCATGATGTTCTTGAAGTCCAGGTCATCGTAGTAGTTCTCAATTCCTCTCCGGATGTTGTCATTCAGAAAGTCAATGGTCTGTGCACAAGGAAAAATCACCAAGGAAAAGCAGCATACATCAGAGGTTAGGTCCACATTATTCTAGAAGTCCAGGTTAGCACAGTGTGCACAACAGTTCCCCTCACTCCCCACCCTGAACACCTGAGACTGCCCAGCCCACAGATATCTCCCAGGTTTCCAAGGACCAGGCCCTCAGAGTCTGACCTGCCAGGCTCCTGCTCTGAAGCAGTGTGCTGGGGCTGGGCCTCAACTCTCCTGATTGCTGGCATGTATTCCCTTCCCTGCCCAGAAACAGGCCCAAGCTGGAATCTTCCTCTGGTCCTCCAGCCCCTTCATCACACTCTTCTCACCCAACCTCCTGCTTTACGAAGAGGGAAGTGGAGATCCCAGGGCAAGCGGACTATGGGGTGGGAGAAAGGAGAGATAGAGCACAGACTGCCGTGGTCACTGAGCAGGTTGGTCAGGACTGGAACCCAGGTCCCCTGCCCCCTATGTGGGCCTCTTTTCATCACAGTCTCCTCCCAGTTTGGGCACAGTCACTCTCCACCCGGAAGAGACTGGAATGCCACCCTCTCCCAGTCACGCTGGGCTCTCGGGATCAACAGCCGGTTGTTGTGCTGAGATCCCTGGAATACAAAGGCTCCACAGCAGGCACAGCTGGGGTGGGAGAGTGGGCAGCCCAGCCACAGGCTTGTGACAATTGGAGCTTTGAGAGCAGAGGCAGGGTACCAACAGAGCCTGGGGACAAAAGGGCATTCTTGGCTCTGGTACAGGACAGCGGAGCCAGACAATTCCCGGGGGAGGCGCCATGAGGTACACTGGGATGGCAGAGGCAGCTTCCAGGCCCTGTTAGGGCTTAGTTTCCCATCCGTGAACCAAGTCGGGACCTTCCATATCTAAGCTAAGAGGAGCCATCAAGTCTCATGGTTTAAGGACATAGTCCTTGCTGGCACTTCTTCTATGTCCAAGCCTCCTTCCCTCATCCACAAAATAGGGAGGCAAATACTTCTGGGGGTGCCAGGAGTTTGACCCCCTACAAGTGTTCAAGGATGCTTGGCACATGCTAGGTCCCAGTAACACAGAAGTCTCTGCATATGGGAAAAAGATCTCTTAGGGTGCCACTTCATACAGTCACAGAGGAAACTCAGTCCCCGGGGGTGGGGGGTGGGGGGTGGGGGTGCTTAAGGCCCACTGCTTGCCCAAAGGACCTCCCACCAGAGCAGGAGCCCTAATACCAGCATCCTGGAGATTATATGAGACACTCACAGCCCTGAGATCAGTATGCCTTATCTAAGGTCCCCCAGCAGACCAAGATGCCAGACCACCAGCCCAACATACTCCATGTTACAAGGTAAAAAGCCCAGGCTCAGGTGTAGCTGCCTCTTCCCAAGATGCGCACTACTGAATGAACTGAGGACCTCCCCTCCCCCACACTTCTGATGATGACCAGCAGCAGCGGCATGGACCCCAAGAGGAAAAAGAAGCCATAGGCTTCTACATGAGGCTCTGAGGTCACCAGCCCCTCGTGGGTCTGGACCCCAGGGTAGGGGCTGAATGGACCATCTGCCTGTCAGCCACACTGCATAGGCAGAACAAGGACTAACCAAATCTTAGCCTGACTTCCCATCTAACCTTGCCTGCCTGCTCCTCTGGGGGATGTGGTGACAGGCCAGCTGGCTGGGGTGGGGTGGGGAAACAGGACACCAGGGTGAGGTCTGTCTGCCACCCAAGAGGGGCAAGGGAATGAGCTCACAGCCCTGAGTGACACATTGCACAGCTCCATTGGTTGAGGTGAGTGACACCAGGGTTAGGGACTTGCCTAGGCTGTGAGAGTGGAAATGTGATGTGAACAGCTTCTTTCTACTCTCCAGGCACTGGGGTTACAGAGCTGACTCACCATGGCCTCTCCCTTCCTACCTCAGCCATTCTAGATCTCCATGGAGTCCCTTCCCTCAGGGCAAGCCATGGGGTAGATGAGGGCAGGAGGCACAGTAGTCAGGGTAGGCTGGTAGCCTGTGGGGTTTTCTTTCTCCCTTCCCCCCCCCACCTCCCTCTGTCTCTCTCTCATGCATTCTCCCTCCCCTGATAAGTCTTGCTAGATTCTTGGCCCCACCAAGACAGACCAGCAGACCAGAAAACCCATACAGCCCTATGAGAGCCATCTTTCCATCTAGGAAGCTGCGGTACCCTGTTAGGAAGAAAGCTCTAAGGGAACCTCCCTGAACAGATGCAGGAGCAGATAGTCCTGGCCAGTTCGATGAGATAGCTCTTGGAGTTGTTTTGGCTGCTGTAAACCTTCGCTGCTCCTGGAATTGTGTGTGTGCTGTGTCATTCCAGAGGATTCTATGGCAAACCCACAAGAAAATGCTGAAGAATCTCTCCAGACAGGCTTCCCCACCTGCTTATGAGCAGTCATGCCTACACAGTGGTCTCCATAATGACCCGAAGGGACAGTTTGGAGAACTGAACATGGGGTTGATGGAATTACACAATATATTATCAGGGTGATCCTGTAGGGATGGGCACTGGGAGAGGCACTAAGAGCTAGAGTTGCCTTCTCCCAAACGTCTCTTCTGCATCATCTAGAATTGCTTTGGCATGGTTTGTTGTTTTGTTTTGTTTTGTTTTGGGGACAGAGTCTTTGTAGCCTTGGCTGTTCTGGAACTCATTATGTAAACCAAGCTGGCCTTGAACTCACAGAGATCCACCTGCCTCTGTCTCTTGAGTGCTAGGATTAGTTATACGCTACCACACCTGGCCTTTGGCATGTAGCTGAGGTTAGCCTCAAAATTACCAAGTAGTTTAAGGATAGCCCTGATCTCCCTTAACTGTGTAAATACATATTTCATGAACCATAGAGCCCAGAGAGTGTGGTGATAACTGGAAAGTTGTTCCTGACCCAGGCCTTGGCTTCCTGAGCTGTGAGGACTGAAGGTCCCAAGAGCCTCCCGTGGTAGTGGCCTTCACTCAGATCAGTTCCCTCACTTAGAAGAAGAAAGTGAAGTTATGGCCGTGGCTGACCTACAAAATACTGAGAAATGACAAGCCTGAGAGCCTTGGAGAGCCATGCTGGAACCGGGACTAGCTCACTTGGAAGGGACAGGTTTAATTAAAGCCATGAATGGTACTGACCATGAGATGGCCCTGGGACTCAGCCAGGAAATGCTAACCTACACCCCTGCAAGACCACTGGCCAATGGACAGGCATGCTGACCACACAGAAAAACATACCTATATACAACTGGAATAAATACCTCTCTCTACTCAGGGTTGCTGGGGAATGAACCAGTACTAGCTCAAAATAGATGGTCTGAAAAGCAGAAAGGAAAAACAAAAATAACTAAAGGGGCCTGAGGCGTGGTGGCACAAATCTGTGACCCTGGCACCTGGGAGATGCAGGCAGTAGGCTCAAGGTCATCCTTGCTGTATATACACACACACACACATCTTTCTGTTCTTGAAAGGGCTTTTTAACCCCTCTGGGCATTGATGACTCCATCACTACAGTGGGAACTGGCCCTCTCCCCATAGACCCTTGGAACTCGCCGCTTAGAAAGCAGACCTTGAGGTCCTAGGTAGGTTACACTTGCTTAGGGTTGGGTCCCACTGTTCATGCTAATGCAGAATAGAGTAGGGATCAGACACAATGCTCTCTGAGTGCTTGGGACAGTAGCTGGTGACTTGGAATCACCTTCTGATAAGTGCTTGATTCAGCAAAAGCCTTGAGGCACAGTCTTACTGTTTTGAGACAGGGTCTTTCTACATAGCCATGGCCATCCTGGAACTGGCTAGACCATGTAGACCAGGCTGACCTTGAACTCACAGAGATCTGCCCACCTCTGCTTCCTGCTGAGACATAGTCTTAACGGTGCCTGGAAGGCCAGGGACCAAGCCCTATCTATAACCCCAAATGAGGAAGAAGGCAAAGGAGGAAGATAACAGGAGAGAAGCCAGAGTGTGGTGTGCAGCTCAGTTGCAGCATACTTGCCTAGCATGTGCAGGGCTCTGGGTTCCATCCCAACATCCCAAGGAAAAAGAGAGTACCCTGAGTCAGAAGACGGCTGCACACCATCACTAACGGGATCTTGGACATGAGATGCTGAGGAGGGTCTCATTCTTGCCCTCCCTGCTCATCACATTCAGTCTTCTACTCCATCTTCACCTTAAACTCTGGCAGTAACTGCTTAGGACCAGAGAAGTCACGAGACACGACCAAGGTCCCCGCGGCCAATATAAGACACCTGTGTGTGGAGGCACTGAGGACCCAGAGCTGTGAGGCTTGTTCAGGTGTATGAGGTCCTAATTCTTCAGACAGTGCTGGGCCTTGGGTATCAGGCATCACTCACTCAGCCTGTCCCTTCCCTCAATCCTATATGTAGTACAATGGCCCCAAACACATACCAAATCCCACTATGTCAGACCTGGGGACATTTGCCTCCACTTCCATCTGAGCCACCACCCTTTTCCTCCGGATGACTGTCACAGCCTCCCATGTCACCCTTGTTGTCCTTTAGTTACAGTTATAGGAATGAAATATGGAGGGGGGTGAGTGGTGAGTGGGGTCCCAAGGTAAGGGACCACGTGGGAGAGCATAGCAGGTTCCATAGCAGGTGAGGGTGACCGAGGTGGGAGGGAATAACACGCCGGGCAGATAGAGCTTGAATGAGGAGTTTATTTAGAAAGGGGAGTGAGGGAGAAGGGAACAGACATAGAGGCACTGGGAGCAGAAGAGGAGAGAGGGGGAGAGAGAGGGGAGAGAAGAGCGGGGTAGCTGGTGGCCAACTGAAAGCAGGAGGGGGGGCACAAAAGAGAAAGCGAAAGAGAGCATAAGTAGGCAGGGGTCTGACTTATGAAGGGGTCCTTTACACCTGCCTGCAGACTAGTACTCATGGAACCCTGGGCTGACCAGAGTACTGCCTAAGTGCATTCTGCCAGGTGACAGGGGCAGGCCAGCGTAACGCCTTACTTTCCTATTCCCTGTCCCCCACTTGGTAGCTAGAGCAAGATGGGAGTCAGGTTATGTCCTTCCCTGCACACAGCTGTCTAACAGCTCACTGCCTTTCAAAGTCACGTAGGACACCTAACCCATAGCCTCTGAGGATGTACATATTCCCCAAGCCAGCCTTCTAACTTCGCCTTCCATCCTTCTCCCTACGCCTTACCCCACCGGGCAAGCAGACTCCAATGCACCCTGTGCCAGCCTGCCCAGGGGCTCCTCCCCAGCCCTTTTCCATCATACAGGGCTGCATGGCTGGGCTGTCCCAGGTCCCCCACTGTCATTTAGTTACTTCAACGAAACCATCAATCTGCCCTGCCCACAGAAGCAGCCTGGATAAGGCCCAGGCTGATGATGAACCCACAGGCATACCTGGTTCCGGAAGATTAAAGCCACTATGCCACCAATAAGCTCCATTATGAGGCAGATCCCCAGGATATACATGAACTGGAAGACAAGATTCAGAGATTCATCTGGGGAAATCAAGAAAAGGCTCAAAGGACTCCTCACCTATGCTAAGATCAAGCACAATAAGATGGTAGTCCTCCCTGACTGGGCCTTGCTGCCCCTCCTAGAGAACACAGGACTGTGCTTAAAAAGGCTTGAATCTAGAGAGTATCTAGATACTCTTCATGTTTTTCCTGGGATCTTCAGTGCAGTCTAGATTAACAGGAGGCTCCTCCCCAAACTAGGGTGGATTTTCTCCCTCTAACACAGCCAGAGGGACAAAGCCTGGCAGGACTTCCAGCCCTTGAGCCTCTATTGCCCACCAAACAGCTCAGAAGTGGCTTCCTACTCAACCAAGTATAGAAGGGGTGCCTTAAGTTTGGAGGGCACACACTCCATCCCCTCATCCAAGAAAAGATATTGACCAAATTGACTCTAGCAACTTCCAGCCTTGGGCAGTACCAAGACCCTGCTGTCTGTGGCTGTAAAGCAACCCCATTAGAGGGAGGGACATGGGGGTAGTGAGGTAAAGACACGTAGACATCAGAGGATATGGGCCTTCACACCCAGTGTTCCCAGAATTGAGGTGTCATCCCTCAGCTATAGACAGGGGTTGTGTTGACTACAACACTCAACATGATGGGCATGTGATACGAGCCAGGCACTCCAGTGTACTGGGACTTTGGCCAAAGTGTCCAAGAAAGATGCCCTGAGCTCAAAAGCAATAAAGGTTCTGTGCCTGAAGATGGTAGGCAGGAGCAGTTCTGCTGGAGGAGGCAAACGAACTGCCTAGCCTTGCCTGGTGGTGAAGTGGGGATCCTTGGCCCCCATAGGCTTGCTGGCTGCATGAGCTGATGATTTATCACCCCAGCCCCCAGCTTTGCTTGCTCTCAGCTGACTGTCATTTCAACAGCAAGAGTAGAGACCATAGCATCTCTGTAACAGCAGTATCCAAGTCAGATGTACATATATGCTGATGTGAGGTAGCTGGGCGGAGCTGGGCCACTGTGTTATAGTGGTTGATTCAGGAAATGTTCTGGAGCAGCTGGATTGTGTGAAACACAGAAGGAACAGAGCATTCCAGAACAGACAGGCTCTTCAGCTGTCTTGGAGACACCAAGAACCACTCCCTCCATCCTAGGGCTGGGAGAAATCACTTACCGACTGGAGAAGGCACAGGTTGTCCCGGAGGGAAGCCAGCACCCCGATGAAGGACACAATGAACATGACTACACCCAGGAGGATGAGGATGATGGCAGGGGCCAGGAAGGCGCTTTCCAGGGTTTTGTATTTCTGCCGCTCAACCTCTGCATAGATCCCCACTGACAGGACCAGGCCCCCAATTAACTGCACAAAAAAAAAAAAAAAATGGAAGGTGAGGGGTTGTGGAGGTGTAATAGTTCAGTTGGAGCATCCTTGCCTAGCATGAGAGAGGCCCTTCCTAGGTTTGACCCACTACAAAGCTTAAAGCTTAAACCAGGAGTAGTGGTGCACACCTATCATCCCTGCATTTAGAAAAGTGAGGTCAGGAAGGGCAGAAATTCCAAGTCATCCACACAGGAAGTTTGGGCACAACTTGCTACATGAGACTCTGTCTCCAAAGGAGGGTGGGGCAGGGACGAGGAAGATGTCAGGCAACTACTTGACTTTATTCAAAGGATCTCTCTGGAACTGTGATTCCAGCCATAAGACACGGGCTGCCCAGGGTACTGCACACGAGGGCCAATGCTGTGGGCTCAGCTATGTTTCCCTACAAATCAGTGCTTCAGAATATGACTATATTTGGAGTTGGGACCTTGGAAGTAGTAATTAAGTTAAAATGAAATCATTAAGGTGACTCTAGTCCAATATGAGTGCTGTCCTTGTAAGAATAAGTTGATTACAGGCTGGGAGGTAGGTAGTAGCTTAGTTGGTAAAGTGCTTGCCTAGAATGCAGAGGCCCTAGGTTCAATTCCCATCACCACATAAACCGGCTGGTGGTTTGACACTTGAAAGGTGAAGGCAAGAGAATTGAGGTTTAAGGACATTTCTGGCCACATGCAAGTTTGAGGCCAGTCTGGCATACATAAGACCATGTCTGAAGAGGAAGGAGAAGGCACAGAAATGCACAGAAGGAAGGCCTTTTGAAGGAAGATGGCCATCTGCAAGCCAAGGAGATGGCTTGGAAGAAAAGAACTCTGTCAACACTTGATCTTAGGCTTCAACCCATCGAACTATGAGGAAAGAAATATCTGTGGTAGTGTGTAACGGCCCCTGAAGACAAGACAAACACCAACTGTAGCAGACAGTGCTGATGGACCAGGGAAATGCTACTTCCTACAGCGTCAGAAAAAGTGGATTGTCTCAGCTCTGGGACAGACATGGGCCAGGAGTCTACATTCTCATCTGAATAATGGGTATGGACACACACCTGTCCTGCTCACCCCACAACCTTTGGAAAGGTTTTAGTGAGACAATAAAAATGAACATTCTAGCAACATGGGGGCACAGGGTCACTGTCATTTGTACTCAATAGGCAAGCCACTCCAGGGACACTCCCCAGCTGCTCAAGGAGCAAACACTTCACTCAGGCCCATAAATAAGGAATTTCCCTTGAGAATGACCATCGAGAAGGATGAGTGTCAGAACAGCAGAAATTTCTAGGGGATTTAAGTGTGATAGCCCTTATTGGCATTTTACCACAGACAGACAGACAGACAGACACACACACACACACACTAGTTCCCTACAAGAAAGTGGCATCCACAGGAATAAATTATACCCTTGATAGAGAAAGAGTAACTATAGGCTATCTAGTGAGAGGTGCTCTAAAAGCAGAGCATGGCCTGAGCAAGACTGACCTCAGCTCACATGGCTCCCCGAGACATACAGTGGGGAAATATTAAAAAGCCAATTCTTATGTTAGGGTTAGTTGCACACCCTTAATCCCAGCCCTCGGGGGGAGGGGGGGTGGGGGCAGAAGCAGGTGGATCTGTGAGTTCAAGGCCAGCCTGGTCTATAGAACTAGTTCCAGGGCAGCCAAGGCTACACAAACGCTGTCATGAATCCCCCCAACCCCCTAACCCCCCAGCCCCCCAACCCCACAAAAAAAAAAAAGAGTTTGAAGTGGTTGGTGATGTAACTCAGCAGTTGAGCACCTGCCTAAAAATCCAGGTCCCTTCTGAAAGACTCCATACCCAAGGGCTGCTCACTGCATCCTAGCCCTGGATGGGTCAGCCTTGAGATGCCTGCACCTTGGTGCTTTGGATGCTGTCTTAGTCACTGCTCTATTGCTGTGAGGAGACACAAAATCCATAAAAGAAAGCATTTAACTGGGAGCTTGCTTACAGTTTCAGAGGATGAGTCCATGGCCATCATGGTGGGGAGCATGGCGGTAGGCAGGCAACTGAAGAGCAAACATTCAAACCACCACAGATGACGACATTCCTCAGAGCACAGGAGTTGTCAGAGCCAGTGTATGGAGGGAATCAAATATTCAGGGACCCAGAGTTTTTCAGTGCAGGAAGGGTGGGGCCTTATCATGTCCCTTGGTGAAAAGTTTGATTCTCACCCTGACACTGACCCATACAGCTTATCCACTTCAATGTTTTCAGAATTGACTCCATATGCTCTTGAAAGTTGTAGGGCTCCTGCTGTTAAAAGTTCCTCTTCCTGACAGGATGGATGTGCTCTGGGCCCTGGTATCTCCCTTCCCTCTGCTCACTGCCCTCCTGACCAATCCCAGCCCCCACCCAGGCCTGTCCCCACCCCTCCTTCCTGCCTGAGCCTCTACTCTGCCTTTAAATCCATCTCTTAAATCCCAGAGCTTTGGGACAACTTCAGACAGAGCCAACCTCAGCCCACTGCAGGACAATGGGTGGATTCTTTAATTTTTACAAGCTCTCCAGAGCCCTGGGACCACTCCAGGACAGTCTTGCAGTCAGTAAATCAAACTTCTGTTGGTCTGATCACATCTGTCCCCCGACAGATGCCATTACCATTTCTTTGCTAGGTTAGCTGATAGCAACCGCTGCAGCCCACCAAAGCCTAGGCAATGCTCCCACAGCAGATGCAAAAGCCCAGGCCTTCAGGCTCCCTCACCACGCACCAAGCCATCAGACCCAAGTGTCCTGGTCATTCAAAAATGATGATCGTGTCACCCTTCACACTGTCCCTACCCTGGCACAGGCTGACCCAGGCTCCTCCAGCAGGTGTTCAGAGCAGTGATGTTGATGACATGAATCTTAAAAATGAAACTTAAAAATTTCCAAATGATATTTACCTCTCTGATGACATCAGTTTATCCATCTGGGCATAAAGTTATCAGTCAATGCCAGCATGCAATCCGGTCTGCTCTTTCGCTAATTATAGCCCTGCCCCAGGCAGGCAGCCACCCCAGCCCCAGTGCAGGAAGCAAATGGCCCATTTGTTAAACTGGACAGCTTCAGTTAAACAAGCATAAGGGCAGAGGCACAGGCCATGCCCACTTGGGGACATGGTGGGAAAAGAACATAAGGCAGGCAATTTGAGTGCCAGGCCCCAGATTGTGGGACCAGGCTGCATCTTCGCCCTTCTGTGGAGGAGCCCTGTTGTCCAGCATGAACTGGGTGTCTTCAGAATGGACCTGGAGCTCAGCTTTCTCATGGACAGAGACAGGCCCAGCTGCACGAAGCTGCTGAGAAACAAGCCATCCAGTGTGACATCGCAGCACCTGTGTGTCCTCAGTATGTAGCTGGTTGGTGCCCAGCTCACCCCCAACTGGAACAGCTTTCCACTTAGATGAGCTGATGAGGTCCATTTCAAACTCTGAGGCACATAACAGGCTCCTGCTGTGCTCCAGGCACTCTGTTAGGCACCACAAGGCCACCAGGAATCAAAATCAGATAAGGAGCAAGTCTAGGGGAGGAGAGGGAAACAGCCTGTCCTGTGGATGGATTCAGAAGTCTTTGACTTGGGCTGCAGAGAGAAGTCAAGTGTTTGTTTTTTCCAACCAAGTATCCCTTAAAGGCCCAAGGATTGCTCCCCAGGGTGGGGGCTGCTAGAAGCTGGTGGGGCCTGAAGGAGGTGGGCCAATCAGAAGTCCTCATTCAGCTCACTGGGGTGCGCCCTTGAAGGGAACAATTGACCTCCTAGCCCCTTTCTCTTCCTCTTTGCCACTGCCCTGGCCACAAGGTGCATGGTTTTTCTCCACCGTATGCTTGCCCCATGGTGAACTGCCTCATCATAGATCCCAAAGGAACTGAGCCAATAGATCATGGCCTGGGACTCCTGAAACAGCAAACCCAAATGGACCTTTCTTCTTCACAAGTTGATTAACTTGTTAGAGGACCACAGCACCGACTAATACTGCCTCTCGATGGAGTAGTCTCCCAGGCTTACAAATGGAGGTGGTTTAGTCTTGGAGACTATCACTCATGGAGTACAGCATGTCTCCCCAGGCTTCTATCCCAGGCTCTCTTCCATATAGAGCAGGAGTAGTTAGAGAAAGGAGACAGCGGCTGGCATTCTGGACCTGCCGTGGCCATGGAGTAGCCTCACTTTGGGCCTTGTTACTTACCTGTCAAATAGAAAAAAAAAAAAAAAAAAAAAAAAAAAAAAAAAAAAAAAGCCCACTACTGTAAACACTGCTATAAACAGCAATTTTTATTTTTATGCATACATGTGTTTTATCTACATGTGTGTCTGTATGCCACTTATGTGCCTGATGCCCAAGGAGGCCAGAAGAGGGTATCAGACCCCCTAGAACAGGAGTTAAATATGGCTGTGAGCTGCCATGCAGGCAATTGAACCTGGGTCCTCTGGAAGAGCAGCCAGTGCTCGTAACCACTGATCCATCTCTCCAGCCTCTTATTTTATTTTATTTTATTTTATTTTATTTTGAGGAAGGGTGTCATGTGGCCCAGGCTGGTCTAGTACTAACAACACAGTTGAGGATAACCTTGATCTGTTGTTACCAGTGGTTAGTGTCTAGATCATGTGTTTCTGGGTTCTTAGCATCTTAATCGAATAATTGAAATAAAGGCAAAAGCAGACTACAGAGTAGCAAGGAAATGTCATTCAAAAGCAAAGGGATAGAACTGACAGGTATGCAACCCAGTGATCGTCATGGTAGGACACCTGAGAAAAACAGTACCCCAAGGCCCTGGCTTTCTTTTGAGGGCTCCTTTCATGGGGTCCAAGAGAAGGAGTTTAGTTGCCAAGAGGAGCAGCCCAGGTAATTTTCTGTTTTGACTGACAGGCTTGGGTTTTGTATGCCTTTGCTCACTGCACACGTCCCTTACACAGCATGTATGCTCTTAATCATACGCATACCCAAATATGCGTGAGATGGTCAACAGGGGTTCTTCTAAAAGTTCACTAGGAGAACA